GACAGCAATGAGCCAGCTCGGTCCTGTGTGTGTTGATTTGAGCCTCCTGCTGTTCCCAAAGAAAGCCGGGATCCTACCGGCTCTGAGATGGCTCTGATTGAAGACATAATTGTGATTGTGGGTGAATTTCACGGTTAGGAGCGTGAAACCCTCGGTGAGATGGATGGAGAGATGGAGAGCGAGGGAAGCGGAGTGGACTACAAATTAGGTGTCAAGGTGCTCTGAGCCAGAGCTGGGCGGTGAGAGACCTTGGATGGTGTTGGCTGATGTATTCAGACACACAAAAACAAACATACAGTATTTAACCTGATCTATAGACAGATTTCCTTGTTTTTATACATCTAACTAGTGTCTAAAAGGAGCTGGAATTCATCATGAATAATAAAAACGAAACCAACCCTTTTTATTTTTCAGATGTTCAAAACCTTATAAGGCACCCCCATGTTATCAACCTATTACAGGTCATCAACTCAACGGGAATTTACCTGTGCTGCATAGAGTCTCATTAATTCAACCATCAATTGATCTATACTCAGTGCCATGCAGGTGGGTGCATCTTAAAGTGCCTAGAAGCAAAGTAGCTACAGTCATAATGAACAGGCATATGTTTAAAATGTGTGGAATGAAACAAGCTTTAGGAAAGTTTTTCACTCCTTAGTGGCAGAAAGTCTCATCAGCATAGAATAAAAAAAAAAAAAAAAAAAAAGGGGGGGACTGGGATGAATGTGAATGTAAAGTCTTTTAAAAAGTGTTCACAGTATCAGAGAAGCCAGATAAACTCAGAGTTCTGGATCAACACAGAAAGAGTCTTAAACTCAAGTTAAAAAGTGCAAAACCAATTTAGTTAGCCCCATTCTACTTCTCAAATAACTTCTGCTATCTGGAAAACAGGGAGGATTCACAATATTAACACCTAGATGGAATCTAAGCAAATATCCTGATCAAACTATGTTTTTTAACAATGCAGTGACATGACTGACAGAGAAAGCCTCTAACTCCTGTCGAACCCTCCTGTCAGTCTGAGGCTTTACTCTCCATCAGACATCAATGTAAGGAAAACCAAAAGTATAAACACTTTCCCTAAAGTGCTTTGGATACATGAAGCAAAGTATGAAAATACATTGCTCTAAATTTAGTTTCCAATACATTAACAGTAAACAGAAAATATGATGAGAGCTAAATCTTCACACATAAAGAACGGCAGCATAAGGCTATTGCTTTTTAACTCCTATTGCAAAGATGGTTCAGACAATGTTCCATTTATTTGAAATAATTTCACTTTGTAAACCTTTATAAGGGAAAACAGACTTTTAATAGCATCTTAAATACTTTTGACAGGTTCATTTTTCTTCACCTTGCAGAAACACTGTATATGCTTCCTTATTACCGAGCAAAACCAATTTCCTACTGTCCTACTACTATTTTGTTCTTTAAGTAAAATAAATGCAGGCTGTTTTAAAAAAATGTACTTGCAAGTTAATCTTGATTAGTTTATTTTTCTTCCATACCAGAGGGGCTCTGACCTGGATTGCACTGTGTTGTTTTGTAAAGGGTGCATGATGCTGATGTGAACAAATCCCTTTCAGAAAGTTCTAAAGCCAAACAAACTGGGACACATATGAGAGATTGACAATTTTATGATAACTTTCATCAACTCTGTAGAACAAAAAAACACTAGCAGAAATGGAAAACTCAAGTGTGGACAGAAATGCAAATGCACAATCAGTGTGCGAGTGGAGCAAAACAGCTCTTGCTGTTGCATCATTTTCAGCTTTCAGATCCTCACCAGTCATCTGCTTATCGAACAAGACAGCCATACACACACCGATTATAATTTTCTCTGTTATTAACTTGCAATATTACAACTGCTCTTCAGATGTGTGTGGTTAATTCGTCTTGTGCAAAGGCGACGACAACAAACAAGGCTAAAGAAACTGCTCACTTATCTCTACTAGACAGGAATTACCCCCGTTATGGACTTGCAGCCCTCGCTGCTGAAGTCACTGCTATCTTTTGAGTTCTGGCCTCACAGCGTTCAGCTAAAGGAAAGCCAAGTGTGTCTCACAGCAGAGCTACACCTGCCAACTCTGGTAGTTAGCTTCAAAATTAAGGATCAGCTTTTAATGGCACTCATTTATCAAAGCAAATCTGGATAAATGCTTTTAGAATAGACTCGAAATATTTCTTCAGCCGCTGCTTTTTTTTTAACCTCTGCCAAGAAACATACATGGTGATTCATATGTACTCAAGAAGTATAATGTTTAAAAATTTAAAGTAAGGTTTCAGTGTATGCAGAAACAAACTCCAGGCTCTTGTGCGTAGGACGTCAATGCTTTAGAATAAAATGTTATTTAGTTCACAGCTGTTCAGTGGGAACATAAGCTGTTCGGGTCATTATGATGGCTCCAGGCTACAAAACAATGAATATCTCAGTTTTACAGTTTAAACCGCAAATACAAAAGATGAATAATCATTTTGCTTTTAGTTTCAAATAAGAGTCTATTTTCTGGATTAAACTCCTGGTTATAACTATAATGAAATGCTGTTGATCTGTGGAGTCCTTCATCAAGCTGTTGGGATTGCATATGATTTATGGCACCTGCTTTTCAATTTAATTTGACAGACCCACTGCCAGTTGTTCACAAATCCTCCCTAATCTCTAAAAAATCCTCTTCCTCCTTAGTAAAACAAACATGCTTGCAGTATTAAGCTGCAAAGGTCCCCCACTGATTCATTGTTTATCCCTTTATCTGAAAAATAAATGGAAAAACGTAGAGTTCACTCCATCACTTTAACATGCATCATCGCATTATATGCTATGAATGTCACCAAAGAATACTGCAGGATGATGGGAATGTGTGTGAAAGGTGAAAAACAGAAAAATAGGGTAAACGCTGCCTGCTAGGAAGAGACCATTAAAAATGACAATGGATGCAGAATTCTGGCCAAACCAGCAGGGATTCATTTAATCACTGATGGGATCAATTACGAGCAAGTGATGTTCCTTCTGGTTTTCCAGTTCACTCTGTGTCCCTACAGCATGCCTGTGAGGTCTTGCCTCAGGTCTGTTAAGGGGCTTTCAGTTGCTGATGCTCAAAATTAATCATCCAGTAGTGATAGTGATTTACTTCCTGCAAAGGAAGACTAAGATCACTAATAAGAGAATGTTGTAACCTCACTCTCATTACTTTTCATCTCAATGAGGATAGATCACACTAAGGTTTCGGTACAAGGTGATAAGACAATGCCTAATAGATAACTGACTTGGCATCTGTATTTTGTTCATTTCAGCTTAGGGTTTATGCAAATACTATCATTAAAATATTTTGTTATCATGTGAACATCCATGTAAAGAGAGAATGGAAGAGTTAGACGACGTGAAAAAGTGGAGAAACTTCATATTTCTTTTTTTTTAAATTCTTGTACCAACTGATCTGGACTTTTAGTAAATGAAAACACTTGCAATAATAATTTTGAATGGTACGTTTCATTCTTTCCTAGATGTAAGGGTTGGGGTTGCTTATTATAAATCATCATATTGCTGTTATAAATAAACAAAATAGAGGTCTGTGTTGCTTAGAAACGGGCTAGTTAATGGGCTTCAACAATCAGCCTAAACATCTTCAGAGACCCGATAGCTTCTATATGTTAGAGCTATGATAAGGCTTTTTTCTTCTAGCCAAGTCAAGATCAAATCTAGCTAGATGTGCATGTCTGTGGGTAACTTTGTCCTCAGCTTTTCACTGCCAACCACAGGGGCATGAATACCAGAAGGAGAAAGCCTCAGGTAGATCTTGGGGAGAGGTAAAGTAGGTTAAAGTTTTATGGTGCTCATAATTGAGTCCGGTTGCTAAGGGCCTCAGAGAACCTTCATGATTGCAGAAAAATGCACACAAGAGAACGGACCAAAAAAAACCCCACACCAACAAACACACAATGCTGCAAAGAAAAAAGAAACGCTGATTTCTTTGGAGGGCTGTATGCCCCAGATGCATCGACAGCCCTCAAATTAAGCAGCTCCGAGACAGATGAATCAAATGCGTTTCCATTACGGGGCAAATATTCCATCTACCCCCAGTCATAACGACACCGTATAGCAGCATTATGGGGAAATATCAAATTAGGCTGTTTCATTTGGAGGACTGTTGTGCATTGCAAACAGCTTTTGAGATCAATTGAGCAGCTAGGTAATGAGCGGCAGCGGCCTGCTCTAATATACTCAGTAATGTTCTTTTGATTGCTTTGGTTAATCTTGCTCTGCCATGCAGAGGGAGGTAGCCCCCTTCCTCTGCTAAAACACACTCGTCAGCCCAAGTTGGAAGGAAACAACTGGAGAGCAGTGGTTAAAAAAAAAGAGAAGGAATATGAATCAAACTATTAAATCTGGATAACTCTTGTTCATGTTTTTACGCTTGTAGGAATTCATTAGACTCTATGAGAACATTGCAAATGTCTGGCTCGGTGCTGAAGGACTTTCAATCATATCCCTGAAAAATAAAGAGGCCCCGGATGAATAGGACGCGTTGTTCAACCTTCAGAAGAAGACTTGGTGATACATTGACGCTAAAGTGGATAGAATCAGACACGCTTCAGCTCTCTGACTTCTGAAAGTAAATCTTCTCCCTCTCAGAAAAAAAAGCAAAAGCCACTCAGTCACACCACAACACTCACAGCTGAGGCCATTTCATTTGCTCCAACTCAGCCTGATTCACCTGCACCTCTCGCTGTCCTAAAAAAACGCTAACAAACCTGTCCAACTAGTTTTGCAATATGCTGCACCACACTATTGTAGGCTGCACCATCTGCCACAATTTGTTGTGCAGTGTGAATATTTATTCACTCATAACTATGTAGCTCAACATCCAGCTATTTTTGAAGGTCCTCCCATGCCAAAAGACAGCAGTCAAACTGCTTTTAGAACCGGGGCACTCCACAAGACATACAGAATGTCCTCACTGTCATAAGACATCCTCAACGGGTCTGATTTGTTTTTGTCTTACCTCTCTACATGATCCAGGTTCCCAGACATGCCAAGTCCTCCTATGGTGTACAGTTTCCCATCGTACACCAGGCTGTTGTGTCTGCAACGAGCCACAGTCATCCGGGACACCAGATTCCAGTTGTCCAACAGCGACATGTAGCACCATACGTCAGCCACCATCACCCCTGATTCTGTGCCACCTGTAATGCATAAAGGTTATTGGTGACATTAACACACCCTACAGTCAAGATGCTTAAAGCAAACTATTAGTACATGTTTGCAGATTAACCTTGATTGGTGCTCATACCCTGAAATTTTAAGCATTTTCCCCATTTCCACTTTGAGAACGAAGGCCTCCGTACATGGGTTGTGCGCGCTAACCACAGCTCCACCGAAGCATGCCTATCCCCATTTTTTAATTGTTTGTGATATTGATAGTAAATAACTGGAAGCTCCAGTTATTTGGCTGTAAGGACATTTGTAAACTTGTTTTGTGTCTTTTTACACCAGATGCCCTTCCTGATTAAACTGGGATTCAAACCTGTTTTCCATTATGCATTCAAGTCCATGACTTGGAGCACCAAATCAGCGGGACTCCTACAGTTGGCGGAGTAAGTATTGTATCACAACAAAACACTGCTACACTGATATCAGAGTGAGGAAATAAGGTGGATTTTATGAAACATCCAGCTTGTTAACTATGTTTGTCGCTTGTATAATGTTTCCACCTTTTTGGTGAATGTTTACCCCAATAAAAGGGTTTGGTATGCTTACTTATTCAATTATAGTAAATATTCAACTAAATAATGGGATCCCAAAGTCTTTAGATACCAACTGAAGTAATTAGTCAGGGAGGGATGTCTTGAGTTTCACTTAGTTTATAACATTCTTTGTCACTATAGCAAAGCCTGAAATTAGGTGATGTTGTAATTGAATCACTGTTGACACAAATGAGTTGCAATTGCATTTTAAAGTATACATACATGGTGTTTGCAGCCTGGCTTTTCTGGGAATTAAATTGTGTCTGCTGCAGTGCTAAAGCAATATAAAGGTAAAGTGGGAGTGTTATTTTGTTATGGGAGCATTGCTTCCAAAAGCACAGAGACAAAAACGCTGACGGGCTATAGTGTAATGGTGTGTAGCAGTGAGTTTGTGTTGTTGGCCAGTGCTGTTACATGCAGAGGTTCCCAAACTTTCAGCTTCTGACCAATGAAATGCTACCAAAGTCGCCTCCTGACCAAAACTAAAATAATTTGAGTGAATTCTTGATATATTTAACATAAATTATTTACTGCTTAGTTTTATTTTCTATGTGGACCCCATACTGTTTGATCTAAGTGCCCTAAGTGAGGTCACGACCTTAATATTGAGAATCAATGGCTCAACGATTAGTACTGGGTTACAGGAATCCATTAATACAAAGTTTAAACAAATGAGAAAAAAATGGAGAAGAAATATCCTTCTAGTTGTTGCAGTGATTAAGGTCCTTTTAGTGAGATGTCAAGGAAAGTGATATGATTAGAATTCTCTATGACTGTATGACTGTTCAAGTAGTACAACACTTCCCACCCACAGTTATTGTTATGCACTGTCACTCAATCTGCTGAAGAAAGGATCCCAGACTTCTATGTGTTAAAAAAAAAGTTATAAATTGGAAATATTTCTTAAAAAAACAACCAAGAAGGTCATCCTGCAGATGCTAAAGTTACATCCATCACACTAATTAAGGTAACTGTACAGCTGGTAGGCTATGAGTAGAATGAAGGCTAACTCTTGTCTGCATGATCGCTACCTGAGCAGATAGCCTGACTAATCAAACAGCAAATGTCAAGACAGATTTATTTTCATAGGGAGATATTTTAAAGCACTGTACATGAAAACAGAAACTCAATAGGAAAACCTACACAAAAAAGTACATTTCAGTGACATAATGGTAACTAAATATTTAACATGTCAACCTTTTAGATCTAGGCCACTCCATAAAAAGGTACATTATTTTGTGGAATAATCATGTTTATTTGATATACAAACAAACAGGATCTCTGGGTTTCTGTTTCATGTATTTAGATGTTTATGAAATAAGACAGTGTTTTACTTAATTTAATATATATATATATATATATATATATATATATATATATATATATATATATATATATATATATATATATATATATATATATATATCATAATACATACTGAATTCAATATATTAACAATTAAGTCAAGAAAACAGAAAATCATATTGATTACTACTGAAATACTCATTGCATGTTATTTAGTACTACTAATAAAAGTAGTTGTATCATGTTGTGCATCTTTGCTTTGTGATTTTTGTATATACTGCATATACAGTACTGTAAAAATGCCAATTCTGTATTTACAGTACTCCTACAAATCTCATACAGACAGGATTATATGGCTCACAAACATATAAAACCGACCGGTAGATAAGTTAATGTGTACTTCAGCATACTTAAGAAAAACTTATTAGAAATAGCCCCAGTTCTATGAGTACCTCTATAGGCCATGAGTGATCTAATAAATGCTGACTAACAGCATAACCTTGACTGTACAGAAGAGAAAGTGGAAGAAAGACCCGGGGAGATGGAAACCACAGGACAGCTTATGATGATGTGTCAAAGCTTCGAGGCAATGAAACTGCTGGTTGTTTTTGTGCAGCTTGCTTTTCTAAAACCAGCATCTCATTTAAACAAAACCAAGATATATTTATTTGCCGTGTTTTATCAAGCATAAAAATAACAGCTGCTGGGTAATCAGTCTTCTGTGGAGGTTCAAATCAGACAATGTTAAGACATATAATTGCTGCAAAGATGCAGCAGATACTTAGAATACTTCTAGATTTTTAGTCTGATGGACTCACATGGTATAGGTTAAGGCAATAATTAAAGATCAATTTAGATTAAAATGCAATGATGTGGACTTGCTTGGTATCCGTTTAATCTTGTTTCTCTTTTGGATTTTAAAATAAAACAGCCGTTATTGTGAGTCAAGCATTCCTCATCTTCTTATGACATCAATTCAAAGTCCTTGAACATTTTTACACTACAGCTATGACTTCTAGGTATTCTTCTAGGATTGGGTTTCTTGTGAGTACAGAAACACTTTAATTTGCAGAACACATACTGTATTGTGGGTTTTGACTGTAAAGAAGGCAACAAGCTAAGGCAAGTTGTTCAGTAAATTAATTTAGTTCGCAGAACTTCAAGTTTTGGTTTCTTTACTTCACCTTAGGCCAGGGAGCGACAACCTGCGGCTCTTTTAATGCCCACCTTGCGTCTCCCTGAAGCTTTTTTAAAAATGTATGAAAATGGAAAAAGTCTACTTTCTTTTTGCTTATTTGTTTATTTTAATATGGTGTGCAGGAGATCAAACAAACATTCATTATGTTTCCCAATACTGTACAAATTTGTATGATAAATAAATGTAAATAATAAATGTAAACATTTCCACCAACGAAGATTTGCCTCATAGCCTGCAACACTTGATTCAGTGCAGTGCGGTTCCAGGCGAGTGGCTGTTGAAAACAAACAAGCGGGTGTGTCTCGGGCAATGGATCCTTAAGGGATCCATGGGAAGTTATCAAATAATAAAAAGAGTAATTTGACTAGGCATTTTCAAGGAAGGCATTCTAAAAACACATTCCCAAATAAGTTGAAAATGAGAGAAAAATTACTATTACAGAACTTCTGGATAAATAAGAGGAGTGCAAAGATAGATTTCAGGAGTGGATTGCATGTCCAAACTACTGCTCCTAGGTTTATTGCAAGCATGGAAAACCGTTCAAAGACCGAACAGATAACGCTCTTATGCCGGTATGTGAACTTGCTTCCATAACACCAGAAATATGATGACTTTATCATATTTCTATAATTTCATCAATGCATCAAAACCTAAATATATACAAGCGGTGATGGGTGGTGAAGCAGTGAGCGGTGAACTCCACACCGTGAGAGCGTTCACTCCTCCCTCACCTCGTGCTACATTGGAATTTAAACTTAAAGCCACAAATATCGTACAGCAGAGTAGTCACATGATATGAAATTTGCTCCAGGATAAACATTTAATCATGAATGCTTATTATATATTTAAGCCCACATAGTCCTCCTTTATAGTGGGCTAATACACTTTGAGCCCGTGTTGCCATACAAGGCTTTTATAAGACTTTTACAGATACTTTTCCAGATAAATTTGTTTTTTTTTTTGGTTGAATATGGCTCTTTGAACAGTTTGGGTTGCCGACACCTGCCTTAGGCAATGAACAGCTGAGGACAGTGAACATTTGGAAGAAGCTATTCTTCTCAGGAACATCAAACCTTTCTTTGGCCTATGTGTAAAACTTTGTGTGAGGCAGAACACTGACACTGCACGATGCGGTCAGACCTTAATCCTATTGGCAGAAGTTATAAATTGATGATCAAATGTACCCTCCAGCCTATGTTTACAAATAACTGTAGATATTGTAAGAAATACGTCTTACAAACTTAAAAAAAAAATCAACTCAGATTGTATGTTGAACTTTATATGAAAAACTCAAAATGTAAAGTCCGTATCGCACTTTTGCAAGCTACTATATCTCCTGTGCAGCAGTCAGACTTGATTTCAGACAGCTGGGTATGTGGTGTGCTAAGTTATCTGCCTTCATGCACCCAGATATGTTATTCTAAATCCTCTATCCCCTGGAAACATTAAGGATGATTGTTTTCCTTCCCTAAGAACAGTGCCACCCTTTCATAACTTAAACGGATTAAAAGTTGTTTGATGCTGGGTTGATCAGTCAAGAAATCTCTACAAGTTTCAAGTCTTTCCAAATCAGCCCTTTCAGGTGTAAAGCCTGACTTGTAATGCCTAACAGCAAGCTGTTGACCCTGTGCTGCTTGTAGGAAAGGTTACAAACCAGAGCCTGTTGATTGGCTAAGCTCGTATAGGCCTGATTTCCCCACTGGCAACATGACTCCCACTGGACACATGCAGACCTGTTCCACAGCCCAAACACAAATTTACATTTATATGAAAAGAGCTGGAGAGGAAAGGTACACGCAGGACAAATCCTGTTGCATTTCCAAAGTGCAGTGTGAAGGCTTGAGTAGTGTGCAAGAAAAATTCAGTTTACCACTGAAGGAGCGACTTAAAGGTGTCATATACAGGGAGTCACAGAGCACACAGTGGACAGCTGCACAACCAAAAATGCTATAGAACAGTGCAGCAGCAGTGAAGCCAGGCAGAGAAAAAGTAAAAAAGGAGAGGGAAGAACTTCACAGAGGGTAAAGAGAAAATAAGTCTGACAGAAAAATGACTTCTCTTAAAAGAAAGACATTAAAGGTGTCTGCTGTGCTGGGCTTGGGAAAGCTTTCAAAGCAACATATGAGTTAGTTTTGAGTCTGCCATCTTTAAAAAGTCTTTAGATGGTTCAGAAAAGGTCATAGGAATAGAGCAATGGCCTGTGAAGGCTCAATTTGCTAAATCACTCCTTGAGCTGAAACGAAAAAAATTATGTCAAATGTCAGATTTAAGAAAAGCAACAAGAAAACGTCTTGTTCCATTCTCTTCATCTAAAAGCATAAAACACTTTAACTATCGAATAACCAAGCTGTAGCCACAGGAGGAAAGAATCAAAAATCACTCAAGGACATCAAATCTAGAAGGCGTCAAGGAAATAACATTTTCATTTGTTTCTTAATGTTATGTCAGTGGGTTTTGCCAAAAAGAAACTGATCTTTTACACTTGAGTTCAGACTGAAATTAATTGAATAATTTAAATGCTGCTCAGACATCTATCACAGCCGTTTCTCACCTTCCCTTAGAAATAAATTACAATAGGTTTAGCCTTTGGGAGGGTTTGTGATAAAACAAAACAGAAAGATGTTTTAGATCAAAAGCATTTTAATTATAAACCACAAGGACATGAATAAATAAAACAGCTGAACTGTAAAATATAGTATATATATTAATAATCAATATTGAATCTTCTGCAGAACAAGTTTAATTAAGAGCTCCTGCTTGATTTATTTAAAATTTTTCCAACCTTTTTTTGTTCTGAAGTTCTACTCCACAGATTTTTATTTTATTATTCTCTGCTGAGACAAACTTAAGACTTTTACCCTGCTACTGGAGAGGAGTTTTATTTTATTTTAAAAAGATCGGCATTGCAAACTCCTGTAAATGAACATTGGTTTCGTTCTAAATAACAAGAACTCTAACCTCATCATCATCCTTAATCTTTTGTAGCTCAAACTTTTCCAGCTGCAGTAGAATATAGTTCTATAACTTTCCAGTAAACCAAAAGAAAGCCTTAAAACTCCCTGTTTGAGTGGACAGTAGAGCTTACCTGACAGGTAGATGTTGTCCCCCGCTGAGATGACACTGAAGAACTCACGGTCATAAAAGGGCAGGCTGGCCAGCGGGTACCACTTACTGTTCTGGGGGTTAAAACATGTGACTACTGTCAGGGAGCGCTGGTTCATCCCAATGGCCTGACGCCCTCCCACCAGAACTATGACCTCCGCTACACCTATAGGAAAAACAGAAGAAACAGAAGCAAGCAGGTTATTAAGAGGGTTTCTAGCAGTAAATAACCCTAAAAATTACTTAAGTCTGTAAGGAACGAGAAGCTCCAATTCTTTGTAGCATAGTCTTGGATGTTGATAATTGCGGCTGAACTTACTGACACGAGGCAAAGACAAAATGTTTGCTGCTTAGGATTCAGAAAGCCTTGAGTCAATAAGCTGTTTGGAAAATGCTTAATGCAAAGCAGCAAAGTTTCCTCTCGGTCACTACTACTGGGTAAATGGGAAAGCATAACTCAATTAGCAAGACTGATGGGGCTGCCAACTGCATGGTCGCCGCCCAGCTCCACTCCTACACATTCTAATGGCGCTAACAACAAATTCACTCATTCACGCACGCATTAAGAAACAGGGGTGTTTGAGGATGGAAAAGGAGGATCACAAAATCAATAGGAAAATCAATTTCTCTACGTTAAGGTGGGCCAGCTTGATTGGGAACACACTTAAAACATGTTAGGTTCAGCATACCTTATAAACACACACATAAAGCTGGTAGATATAAAAAAAAGTAGTGAACTAAAATGTGCACTTGCACTCACACACCTACACAGGTTGGCAGGCTGCCACATGTACGTTCTCTGGTCCCCTTAGTTTGCAGCAGCAGCAGCAGGCTCCGCTGAGCAGGCAGGGAGACCAGACAAAAATAAGCTGTGTTTGTATGCAAGCAGGGGGAAGACGGGGGAGAGCTAAGCCAGGGAGGGAGAGGATAAGAAGGGACTGATACAGGGAGTGTAAAAGGAAGGCATAAAGTAAGTGAAAACGTAAATGTTGGAGATTAAATGCTAATCTTCATAAACTCCAAAATAAGAAAAATAGCTGGTTTTCCTTGTAGGACCAAGAAACTCCCCTAATTTTTAAAAATCATAGCTAGCTGAGCTTTCTATACTGTAAAACTTCTTTAGATTTAAATTATGTTCTTCTAATTTCACATTTTTTAAAAGCTGGTAACACAGAAATCCTTTCTTTAAAAGAAAGATGCAAGTAAATTACATTGTGCTTGGCTTAAGCTGAGGAAACACACCACTGCCTAAGAAACATTGTGGACAAACAGCTTAGACTCGGTGGACAGCTCAGAGCTGGCTGACTCCTGTACCTCTAGGGTATTTAGAAAAAAAATGTGTGCATATGATGAAAACTAAAGTGGCGTCTGAAGGAGAAACTCTGCGTCATGACAAAGATGAAGGTTTTGCACACAATAAGAAAATGTCGAGTGTTGGCGTGCCTGGTAGTGTGTGTAAGAGTTGGTAGCAAAGGTAGAAACCCATTTCACTCCTTTTCCCTTCATTCTGTTATTGTTTTTATTGTGGGAATTCCAGCATCTTCTGTGGTTTAGGTGGAGGGCAAAGAGCAAAGAGCTGTGTTAGCAATCATAGTGTTAGTGAACACATTTCTAATCTCACAATATCAACTATAATTTCCAGTTTGATGTGTTCTAACCTAAAAAATGTATCTTAATATATAGCACAATGTACTGTATGTAAATATATCAACTTGGGCTTTTTGGTGAGTAATACCATTGCCATGCAACATTTGGGTCTGAGACTTTAGTCCCAGCTGAGGCATGGGTTTTAAATGCTCTCCCTATTCTGTCCACAATTATGATTTCCTCCAAAACTCACAAAACTAACAGACATGTTAGGTTATTTTGCCTCTGTATATTGCCCTTATGTGGGAGTAGTTGTTATCTTTGTGAGACACAGTAAACTGTACATGGTGTACACTTTACCCCTCTCTTGTCCAATTTTGGATTTCAATATTTTTTCTTTTTATTTCTTAAGAAAACCATAATTTTATGTGAACTGAAGATAATTGTTCAATGAAGTCTTATAGTATTGTCAAAAAAAAGGAAATAGCATTTTGATTAAAATATGTTTTAGAAAGAAAAACAGTTCAAAAACCACTGTAGCATTCAGGTAAACGTATTATCCACTGTTAGCTGTTGTCATTTGCTCTGTGCACAGCATAGAACAGTTAGCTGCTTATATGGGCTGTATTGTGAACAAACAAATCTACTTCATAAAAGTGAAGAACTTTCATAAGAATTTGTAAATTTTTTTTGCATTATTTGTAACTTATTTTCTGCTTGATAAGATGTATCGTCTCAGTTTCTGTATGATACTACAGTAATAAAAATAGCCTAGATTTAGAATAAAGATTCTAGGTAGCATGTACTGAAAACTTTAAGGACAGAACAACTACTTTTAAATTAAGTTTATAATCAGGATGTTCACATATTAGCATCCATCAGACTGTAAACAAACATTAAGTACAATATCTTATAGGTAAAAAGAATGCTTTTTTTATTGGTTGAAAATTATAGAGCTGTGAAATATTTTTTGTATACGAGAAAATTGATTCTGACCCTAAATTCTTATATGGTTACTTTTAGGGAACTGCTATAATTATTTTACTGGTTAAATAACAGCAGTTTATTTGTGTATAAGCCCTAGATATTTTACAATACTGCACCCATTTCATACAAACTAAAAGCCTTGGATGGCCCTCAAGACCTACAGCAGACCTTTGGTGTTCGTTTAATAAATGAGAGTTTATTTTTATGGGACAGCAGGAGATATGGCAGCTATGGTTTGGCAAAAATATCGGCGGGTAAACAGACTCTTTGTCTTTCCTCACAGGAGCCTTTACCCTCACACAAACACACACACACACCGCCTCCCATCCTGACTGAGTTCTCATTGTTCTTCACTGTGATTAGTTTGCTGCTACAGCTGAACATGTCTGCACTCCATTTCAGCTTTATTGGATTTTGAAAGTTTAACTATTTTCTTCGCTTTTCTCTGTTTTTCAAACCTCCTTTCATCTCAGTTTCTCTTATTCAGCTCATTGTTTCAGTTTGCCGATACTGTCTGTCTCAGTAAAGCTTCTGTCAGAACACAATGGCGATTCATTTTCTCTTAACTCACCCATCGATCAATTCTCTGCTGGTTTCATATTCTTATGTATGTATCTTTACTCTTTAATCGGAAGAAATAAACTCCATTCTCTGTCTAATCCCCATATTTAAAAGGAAGCTCACTTCTTTAAGACAAACTGCAGAGCAGACATTTCTATTATTGTTTGCTCAATCCCCACAATAACTAATTAGGCCAACTTAAAGCACGCAGTGCCTCAAACTGCTGAACTGTGCGTGCCAACGCACATGCAGGTGTTTATTATTACCCCGTACACAAGTGTATGAATGTTCTCTTCACTTTCTGGTCGACCGGACACGTCAGTGAGAGTCCACATCTGGGTGCTGAGGCTGCTGCGTGGCCCTGACCCCTGAAGCCCCGGACACATCCAGCAGCTAACACAAACCAGCACTAGCCTGTCAGAACGCAGTGAAACACAAGCAGGGCGCCGTTGACGGGGAGCCAAGGCATCCGATCAGATGGCTGCGTCGGTGTGGGTGTGTGCGTTTGTGTGCGCACATGTATGTTTTTCTCAGACAACAAGACCCTCACAGGGATGGCTGTCAGTCAGTGTAAAGTTTGATGGGAGTTAGGTACAAGGATGAAGGGATGGAGGATGGTACGATGGAGAGAAGTGTTTGGGGATGAAGGGATAACTGAGACTTGACAGCTCTCTTTTCCCCCCCCTTATTTCCTGACAGAATTTATACCCATGGCAGTTTTGGGGAAGAATTTCTCCATCCTCATTGTTACTGACCTTTTCTGATATTGTTGTCATATTTTTAGCCTGTCAGCAGACTACTGTTTGGAGCAGCAGCCATTTGTGAATTAAATTAAATAAATAAAGGGAGAAGATTTGAGTCAACCAAAATTCAGTACCTACAGGGGCCGGTTTTGTGGGTAAATGGAACATAATTTATTTTACATAAACTTATCTAGATTTTCCCACAGCTTAGTCTAAACTTGGATCTAAAATAGTCTAAAAGGATAGGTCTCCTATCTACCTTCAACCCATGGTTTTGGTTTTGAAAATTCCATTATGACTAGAGTTGTTTACATTTTTTAATCAATTTATGTTTAAATAGAAGGGACAATATGCTGAATGACAGCAGGTTGGGTGGAATAACAGCTGTTAATCCAAGAGAGACTTGCATTGCAGTCATTAGATCTATACCCACCAATTGTTAAGTATACAGGCTTTATTCTTGCACCTTTGCTCTAACTGCACATGTAGGAATCCTAGTTGCATTACACTCCATTATGTTGGATTTTATATATGCTACCTAATTATCTAATTTTATCTAATCCAATTTTATCTAATTATCTTATTTTAAGAGTAAAAATACTCATTCCATTGGCAAACTATCTCATTTACCTACTCAAATTAAGGGTAAATACACTTAATTTAAGAAATTCTTAATTATTTCTAGATTGTTTTTCCAGTGTATGAGTTGCTGTTGCTGCCGGGAAAAAAAGTCCCAGTACACAGTGATGCATAAGTAAGTGGCCATGTGATTATTTTAAGGCACAGAGCTTATTGACTAACACACATTTCAAAAGTTTATATAGTTTATACAATAGATTATGTAGTAGGGGGAAGTGTTATTCAAAAAGAGGCACAGTTTTAACACAAATTAAAGCCTTTTATAGTTACAAAAGCATAAATCAAGTATACTCACCAGCTAAACATGAAGCATGTTTTATCACATACATAATCAGGCTGTATATCAACATTTAAATACCATGCAAACACGTTGCTACTGATTTAGCTTACCTCACTTATTTGTAATTACAAGCAAACAGCATTTATTATTATCAAAAAAAAAAAAAGAAAAATGGCTTATGTTTGTCTTTTTACATTTTCCAAATTTCCTTTCTGATTTTTTAAAAAGAATTAACTGCGTTTCGTTCTCTAAATATTTCCAGTAATTTGTCTTTTAATTGTATGTCACAAAATGTATCTGATATGTCCGCTGTGTCGTCGTGAAGCAGTTTCCTGCAAACTTGTTTGAGTGCGTTCCTATATGAAAGGG